GGAAACAAATTTTGTAATCAATTGTTAAAAAAATTGTCACTTTAATGGACAATTTATATGTAAAAACAAGGTCAAACGAACACAAACTTTTAAAATTTTTCGTGTGGAAAATTATACCAATAAAACACACTTAATTAACAACTCCCTACAAAATAGTTTCTAGGTAATTACTTTCTCTGAAATTCATTTTTTTTTTCCATTCATTTCCACCATTGCAATCAGACGGACCTCAATTCTTCGGTTTGATTTTTGCTTTCTGGGTAGTATAAAGAAATGATGCACGTAACATTTTTATCCATCTTCAGGGCCAGACTCCAAGAGGCCTCTGCCTGAGGCCCAGCATTTTGGGGGGCCCAAATAAGTATTTTTGTTTCCATTTTTTTTTTTTAAACCAAACTTCATGGTCTTCACCTTCAACTTTCTCAATCCTCGGCTCCACGGTAGCGACAGAGATAAATCAAAACCTAGAGTCCTACCTAGACCAACGACACTACTCTGCAAGTCTGCAACTTCTCCAAAATCCGACCGGCGACGGCATCCTTCTGTCTATTTTCCTGGTAAATCATTTATTCTTTCGTTATTAAATCATTTTCTTGTTTTGGGGTGAGATTCAAATTGGGTTCTTTGTCTATTTGTTGCAATATCTTGAAGATTTGAAATTTGAAGTGTATCTAGTATTCCAGTTTTTGGTGAATGAAATTGTTATGGTTGGATCTCAACTTCAACCAAAATCAACTAAATTCAACACACAATTGAAAGCAGTCAGTTGGGAATCAATAACCCAAGCTGTAAATCTATTAATTGAAATGAAATTACAATGCAATAGTGAAATGTAAAGAGAAAGGGGGAGAAGAAATGCAGAAAATCAGAGAAGTAAGAAGAGAATTCAGATTCAGAGACATAAAAGAGGACTGAGAAACAGATTTAGAGAAATGAAAGAGAAGGAGAAGAAGAATTTTAGATTAAGATATGAAGATAGAGAGAAGCTGATAAGAGAAATGGGGGGATTCAGTTTTTTGCAACAATTTTCAACTTCCTTTTCATCCTCCCCATGTGCTGAATTTATGGAGAGTCATAGAATATTCTAGAATGCATGGGCTGTGGTGAGAGTTATGATCGAAATTCTGAAATTCATCCTGCTTAATTGCTTATTGAATAATCGTTGGTGGGGCGGGGCTGGAGGGGGTGCCCCGCCCCGAAGCGTCCCGAACCCGCCCCGTGAAGAATAAAAAAAATAATTAATTGGAAGTTTTTGAAAAAATAAATAAATAAATGGGCAGGACCCGCCCCGCCCCATCTCGTCTAAGGTGGGGCGCGGGGAGGGACAGGGTGGGGCGGGGGTGCCCCTCCCCGAACCCGTCCCGTTGCCATCTCTAGACTCGACGACTGAAATGGTGCAGGGGCAGTCTAATCGCAGAGGAACTGAAGAAGATGAAGCGATATTGGTTTGGGCTTTATTTTTTTATTTTTTTTAAAGTAGTGGGCTTAAATTGTTTTAGGCCCTTTTTTATAACATTAAGCCCAGTGGTAATGGCCCAAAATCCAAAACCCTGTAATCAGATTGAACTAAATTGACAAATACAATTTTCACCAAATTACCACCCTTTCTCTTATTCTCTGTCACTGTGCATCGCCTGTCACCGCCGTGGCCCGTGGACTTGCTCGTGAGTCTGTGACCTGTCGTGCCTCCAACTTCCTCCAATGGAATTTTAGTATGTAAGTCTATAATTTGTGCAAAGATTAATTTGGAATTTTGGTTCCTGCAGGCTGCTGCTTCATTTTTTTGTGTGCAAAGATTAAGTAGTGGGCTTTAATTCCTTTTTTTCATTTTTTTTTTTAATTTTCTTGTCTGATTTGTAATCTGGTCTCGATTCAAATGTAACGTCCATGCCTATTTTTGTGGTAGGAAAAATACAAACACAAAGTTTTCCTGTCTGTCTATCTGTC